ATTTCCAAAAATTAATAAATGATTGGAAATTACTAGAATAACTTGATGAACAATTTATTATAACTAATATCACTTGCCAAGCATTTTTATAATCTATAGGTTAGTTTATTAAGAAAATGTTTTTAATTTTATTCATATGTTAATTTATATTATTGAATGTTTAACATTTTAATATCACTCTCTATTATATGTAACAGCTACCTCATGCTTGGGTTTTTTTTTTCAAATACACAAGAAGATTTACAAAATTTTCACATATAAGGCCACATATTTCAAAAGATTATCATAGAGTACAGTTTCTCAGTACAATGTGATCACTAGAAATTACTAACAAAAAGATAACTAAAAATTACCTCATGTGTTTTCAAAAAACATTTATAAATAACTCTTGGGCCAAAGAAGAAATGATAATGGAAATTAGAAATATTTAGAACTAAATGATAATGGAAATACCACGTCTCGAAACTTGTGGAATATATATAAGTAAAACAGTACCTCAGGAAAATTATGATCTTTAATAAACTGGAAAGGAAGACAGGGAAAATTAATGAGTTAAATATCCATCTCATGAAAGAGAACGGTGAGGTTAACTGCAAATAATAGCAAAGTAAATCTGAAGTAGGAGAAGGAAGGAAGGAAATTACTTCAGTAACAATAGAATTAGTGAAATTTTAAAATTCAATAGAAATACCCAACAGAGAGAAAACTTGTTTTTGAAAAGGCAAATAAAATTGAAAAACACTCATTGATCAAGAGAATGCCCAAATAAACAAATTAAGAATGATAATGGGGGGCTGGCTGAATGGCGTGTTGGTTAAGAACTGGCTTGGGACGCCAGAGGCCCCTGGTTCGGATCCCACATATGAGGGCCAGTGACACTGCCCTCGACAGCTAAGATGCTGAACAACAGCTCAACCTGGAGCTGGACTGCCATGAGTCGCCGGCGACGGCACGTGGGTTGCCATGGGCTACTGTGTGTAGCCAGCAGCCAGTGTGAGCAGCTAGCAGCCGCTGTGAGCAGCC